TCTGAACATTCATAAACTGATATTTACATAAACACACTACCTATTCTTTGAAAGACATGAGAGATGTGCCATAATGCTAACTTCCGAGTTGAATTATCTTTTTAACCCAATGGGAGTGGATGGCAAGACTACAAAGGCCATGCTCACTATAATATATATTTATTTATTATCTTTGCATGTAGATGGCTCTATAAGTGCTTAGTCACCAAGGAGTCGGTTATTAGTCTTACTTAGCTCACCTGTTTACCTTTTTCCTTGATCTTTTGAAAGCTTCACCTGTATTATTCTATTGTTTTTATTGTTATTAATATTCTAATAACAATTTAACAATCATAATATCAATATGAATAATAACATCAATAATAATAGTATTAGAGAGAAAAAATAATTTTTTTGCAACTTCAAGGAATGGGAAAGCCAGGTCAGAAGGGCCTACTGATAGACTCCTTGCTGGCTGAGCACAAGTGGAGCCATCTGTATATAACAAATTTCACAAAAAATACATGGGACAGTACATACACCCACAATGCCACTGGGAAAATGCTGTGCTCATTCTAATTTTTTTTTGCAAAATGTCTCTGTGCATAGAAGGCTCTGCTACTTAACTACAAAGAAGTCAATTAGTAGACCCTGTGACCTTACCTGATTTCACTTTTTCTTAAATTGGCAGGATTTTTTTTTTTTACTGATGTTATGAATATCAATGGTGTTATTTTTGTTTATAGACATTATAGTACCTGTACTGTTATAGACATTAGCAACAGCAATATAAGATAAAGGTAAAATATTTTTGAAAATTAAGGAAAAAAGTAAACAGGTGAGACTGTCAGTACTCGAAACTGGCATATTGGTGACTTAGTACAAGTGTAGCCATCTACGTGTAAAAACAATTAATAAAGTAAACTTACAGTGGGCATGGGATGTACATACATGCATTGTTATTTTTTCAACATCCTTATATTCAAATCTATTAGCTGCCAACAATGCGGAAGAGAGTAGTCCAGTGAATTGGACTCATTATGTGCCATATTATAGATACATTTGCAAGCCTACACTTTTTGTATGAACCTAATGCCACCAGTTAAATGGTGTGCTCCCTTTCTCTCTCTTTGTGTGTGTGTGTGTGTGTGTGTGTGTGTGTGTGTGTGTGTGTGTGTGTGTGTGTGTGTGTGTGTGTGTGTGTGTGTGTGTGTGTGTGTGTGTGTGTGAAATGTCTCTACACATGGGAAATTTTTTCTCTTAATAACGCTATGAATATCGGTGGTGTTATTTTTATTATAGACATTATAATTCCTATAATGTTATAAACAATAACAACAAAATAAGATAACGTAAAATATTTTTGTAAATCAAGGAAAAGGGTAAACGGGCGAGACAGGCAGTACTCGTAATCGGCTTATTGGTGACTTAGTACAAGTGTAGCCATCAATGTGCAAAAACAATTAATAAAGTAACCTAACAGTGAGCATGGCATGTATATATATGCCATGCCCAGCAACACTGGGTTAATATAAGTGTGATGTCAGATTTAGTTTGTTTGGATATTTGGTACACTAGTGAATACATCTATAAACAAAGGTGCAATACTCTATTTTTGAAAATGCCATGAAACCATCGAAACCAAAAATTATATGTGACAAAATGTGCATTGCCTTTAAGCATATCTTAGGGTCATATTTGTTTTAACTGCTACACAATCTACAAAATATATCAAAATATATAAGCTGCATCTATTTAGTATGCCAACATAAGGAAAAAAAGTAAGCACATTATGGTCAGAGGGCCTATTCATTTTGTAAAAATAATGATGACAATAATAAATAAATAAATATACAGATACTCGCTGGGCAAACTTGCACATCAATTCTTGTGTTTAGATAATATTCACTTTATCATTTTACTAACGGACTTCCCTTTTTCTAATGCTTTTTGGGGTGATTATCATATCCAACATTAATTACAAAATAATTAGAGGACAACCATGTATATCACTGGCCTTCAACTAGCTGGAGCTGCCTCCCTGCATGCCTGAACTCTCACAGAAACTAATAAACCTCCATACATATTTTAGGAGAACAGTTCCCAATGCTATCCATACTTGCAACACTTCTCAAAACTCTGACACATCTGCAACCCATCATCAGTCATTCTGCATTACTTTCCAAATGACAAACATTTAAGGTAAGAGAGAGAAGAAAAATATTCAGTAACCTTAATTCGCTAAATTCTTATACAGTATTTCTTGCTATAACGAACAATGACAAACGACAAAATTGGCCAACAGTATTTTCTTATAGAATCTCCCTGCTAACCCTCCACTGCTTAGGAACCACTTTTATAAGAAGATTCTGCTTGCAGACCTGCGGGCCAATTTTCTATTATATTAGAAACAATTCAAAACTCAATTTTGCCAGAATATACAATGTGCATGACTTCCACAGAGGCAATAATTGCTCAACACTGCCCTAGTACTAGAATAGGTCTCCATCACAGGTCATAAGTTTCAAATAGATCTAGATAAATACAACAATTATAACTACAAGCAGGGCCATCGGGAAGGCAGCATTGCAGGGGGAGGGGGGGGTGTAATATTTCAAATTTGCCGACAAAGGGCGTGGTCATTGGGCGTTAGGCATTGGTGACTTTATTAGTCACACAATAACTATGTTCTGAGAACCATTCGTAGAGAGCACCGACTAATTAGCAGCAGAAATTGTCAAAATCTACCAATTTGCCAAAGAAATGCAGGTTTAAGGTTTCATTTGCCGACAGATGCTTTTTTCAGGGGGGTGTCACACCTCCCACATCCCCCTGTCGTGATAGCCCTGACTACAAGAGTTGAAAGATACTTTAGGTTTCTTCTAGCATTTACATTATTTCAAATAAATTTTGAATTCCTTTAATATATGGTGGACATCATATGCATTGACAACTTCAGACATTTCTAACTCACAATGCATTTATTTGGAAGTAACCCCGGTGCAAGTTGAAGATCATCAGTATGTGCTATTGGCTTTTACTAACTATTTCTATGATCTAAATTTGTCTTTCATAAATTCCATCATTAAAAAAAGATACTTTACTTCATGAAGTATATACAGTGAAGGTCATTGACATTGGCTGGAGCACAAAGCATGGCAGATGCGGCTATCACTTGACAATGTTCTCCTATTACAGAACATATTATAAATCCTTTCTCCACAGGTCATACCATAATTGAATTTGATCTGGATAGAACATGATCAATACTATCACACATAGCTAAAGAACTCTCATTTTGAAAGCTACTACGGGTGCCCTCTAAACATTTACCCTCAATTCTATCTGGGCTTTGAATAGAATTCTACGACAACTTTAACATATCTTAAATAACTTAGCCTAGCGCAACATAATCTTGACTACATTAAAGCTTTGCCAGCCGCAGTAAACTTATCTCACCCTGAACGAAATGTAGCCAAATGTAACTCATCCCAACCTTTCTCTAACCTAGCCTAGCCTAAATTTACTCTTGGGTTTTGCTTAATGATGGTCTTTCCTTATACATTTTTAAAAGCATTTTCTATTATCAAATGTCATTCGTATCTAACAGTGAAGAACAAATATAGTTTGATTTCTAGCACAAAAATATATTTTGGACGCAACTTCCACAATAAAATAGTGCTAAAGACAAGCCAAAATAGAAATACATTTAACGGCAAATTAAAGCATTCCAACAATACCCAAAATTTAGATTCTTTCACCAAAAACAATTTTCTTAACTAACTTTTTGTGAAGAAGGATGCATACATGTTTAATTACCGAGTCTTATCTTCGTGGTAATCGATTACAATTAAATCCTTAACAATCTAACAAACTACTCTAAAAAAAAATCACTATTAAAGAAATATCTCGGCAAATACAGACTCCTCCCTTCAATTGTTAATTTTAACATGAAAAGGATTTACAACACCCAAACTCTAGACAAAATACATGATCTAATCCACATCACCAACATGCGCACAATAAAACAATGGAAACATCCTTTAAAAACAGAGATTAATCCTTTCATTCCCCTCTAGCCTAGGATATGATCTTTAGGTTATGACTTTGACTCCCTCTCAAAATGCACAAAGACCAAGAGCATTCCTTCTCTACCAAAAAAAAAAACTAGTCTTCCTCACACTCCCAAACTGAAAGGCAAAACCACAGCATCAAGCACAGCATCAAGCACAGCATCAAAAACAGCATCACTCTTCCAAGATAAAATCTCCAAACCTCAGCATCTTTCCTTTTCTCTCTGCCTCTCAACATCAGTCAAAAAGAGAGGAAAAAAAAAGAAGGAAAACTCACTGAGCATCATCCCTGCCTCAAATCAGATAAAATCTCAGCATCAGATTAGAGCATCATTCCTCTCCTCTCTCTCTCTCTCCTCTCCTTCCTTCCTTCCTTCCTTCTTTCCCCCAGAGCCAGAACAAATAGAGGAAAAAGGGGAGATTACAGCCTCTTTCCTCTCCTCTTACCTCCTTCCTTCTTCCTTTCCCCCAGAGCCAGAAACAAAATGGGGAAAAAAGGGAACGCAGCCAAAACCAAAATGGGGAAAAAGGGGGAACGCAAAAATGGCTCCAAATTTCCCTCTCCTTCCCTTCGTCACTCCTTCAAAAAATCCCATATACATCACCTATCACTCGTCCATACCTCACCAAAGAGCTCTAAGTGAAGAGACAGGCGAAAAGGAAGGAGAAAAATGACCTCTCTTCTCGTCCTCTCTATCTCCCTCTTCCGTAACTTCGTCTCGGAAGACAATGGCTTCAAAAAGAAAGAAAAAAAAATCTCTTGAGAAACCTTCCCTCTTTTTTTAAAAACCTCCGAGACATTCCTCCTTCCTTTTTCCCCCTTT